TTTCCGCCGTTCGATTTTTGCGCTAATGACAAAATAATTTATTCAGATGCAGCACAATAATCGTTTTAATTTTTAACATTTATCCAACAGCGAATAAAATTGAAAATTTTGCCGCCGGTGTGCAATATTTTCGCGCGCTGATTTTTAATTCGGACGGTGTTATAGTAAATATGTAATAAAATTAGAGGTTGTTAATATTGCCATCAATATTATGAAAATTATATCTTTTAAGCCCAAATTAATATAATTTGACACACCGTTTCGTGGGTTTATTGATCTTTTGCTCTGCATAGGCACCACCTCAACACGCCGCCAGTAAACTAGTAAAAACCGCACATTAGCGATTTAATCAAAACCAGACAAACTCGATCGGTTATTTCCGAACCGTATATATAAATTCCAAAGTTTGTCACGGGAGCTGGAAACGACGCGACGTCCGTAACTTTCTGGGCCTCTCCCCCAAGCGAGCAGTGCCGTACGGGAAGATCTTTCCGTAAAAAGAAACCTTCCCGTTATGGTATCAATCATGGAAAACTAGCTTCGATTGCATTTAACCCATTTTGTTTTATTGGATAGAAAGGGATGTAATTTTCATAGCAATTGCTAACGATACTTTTACTACGTTTAGATTTGAAAAAGACTGCAGCGTTATCCGTAGAGCAAATTGTGGTTTGAAGAGATGAGCGCAAAATTTCTTTTATCCGATACACACCAAAATGATTCCACACTGGGTTCACTCCTTTTGGAATTGAGCAATCGTGTCTAATCAAATCAATCGGGCAATTACAAATCAATACACGGACATTCGCCAAATTAGCACATATCGTGCAAAGTTAGGGACATAATTTGAACTGATTTTGGTAATTTCAGAGCTATTCGAAGGATAATAACAAAAAAAAAACAATGCATAGGTGACTGTATCGATTGTTCAAGAGTGTTAACACTCAAAATAAATAAGAACTAAAAGTTCAGATTTTCACGAAATTCTATATTTTGACATGACAATTGTTTGGACAACACCGTGTTTTTATCAAATGTAATATTAACAAACTACTTGCTACTATATATAACCTTAATTAATGTTGTTGTGAGAATTTAATTTGAATAAAGGAGAGGTATTTAAATCTAATTGATCGTTAAGCAATACATTTGAAAGTCTCACTTTGTTAATCTCCATTGTTTCCAATAAATTTAATTTTCTACTTTTTGTGGCTGTATGTAAAACATCAAAATTGTCGCCAAAAATGTGTTTTTCTGTGTATAAATGTGTAAGATAATTAGAATCCAGACTATTTTATATAAAATTTAGGACAAGATCCGCATTTCAACCTGTAGGCACATGATTTTTGAGATTTTGGACATTTCGTTTTATTGTTTTTCAAATATTTTCCTATTGTGTTGTTAGTTCTGAAAGCTATTTTCAAACCAAATTTTGAAAAATGTTTTGAAACTTTTTCACTAGGTTCTCCTGTGTATGTAATTGTTTTTAATTGTTCGTGTTCTATATTAGGTTTCGAATAAATAGTTTACTGTTGTCTGGATTTGTTTTTTATTTATAATTTTATCTATAATGGACGGATTGTCGCCGTTGTTCAGTGCAATTTGTTTAATGATATTAAGTTATTTGTTGTAATTTTCTGTTGAGAGTGGCGTATTAAGAAGTCTGTGTATAAAAGAGTAAAATGCAGCCATTTTGTGTGTATAAGGGTGATTGGAGCTGTTATGTATGACTGTGTCCGTGTGTGAAGGTTCATGATATATTGAAAAATCTAATTTGTGTTGCGCTTCCGTAAGAGTTAAGTTTAAAAAATTAATAGAGTTATCCTGTTCAATCTCGATAGTGATTTTTATACGATTATGTAATGAGTTAATGTAATTTAAAAAAGAATTCAATTGTCTGTCCGTTCCAACAAAGCACGTATCTATACCACCATAAAAAACTTTTACTTAAAGGATGTTCTAGAATGATATTTTCCAAATTATAAATAAAAATCTCGGCTAACAAAGGACTAAGTGGGTTCCCCATAATCAAACCTTCTTCAGATATATAAATCTGTCCATTAAATTCATAATAATTTTGGTCTATAGATACTATTAAGCAATCTAATAAATCTTGTTTCACCAATGGGTTATCCTGGTTCTGAGTTCGGGTGAAATCTACTAAATCTATCACATCCTAGGTGGAATACTGGGAAATAAGTTTTGTAAATCAAAAGACGTGTTGCGTTAGAAGGGAATTTGATATCTTTAATTTTGTTGATTAATTCAAAAGAATTTTTTATTGCAAATTTTCATTTAAAATCTGTGTGGAACTTTAAAATTTAGGAATTTATTACTTACTGTACTATAATAACCTCAGAGATACTCTACACGATGATTGTTGTGCCGGGCTCAATATTAAATCTCTACCTTCCTTTTTAGTGTTGTGGAAATATATTAAATATACATAGTAATATTTGTGATTTTATCTGGTAGTAAAGATATCCAGAACGGGTGGAATTCAAACAAAATAAATGTAAAATTCAATCCAATTCTAAACTGAAGTGCAGAATCCCGTATGAAGCCAAGTGTGCTTAACGTGTCTGTAGTCGTGGAATTCGCTCATTCTCCAGTAAACGAATTGTGTGGAATTTATTTCAATCTTACTGCCTGAACCTCATATTCAATTTTAAACCTGTTTTAGATTATTCCAGTTATTGTACACAATTTCTATACCAGCGATCGTTAATCGGCAATAGTTTGGTCAATTTGGTTAACTAGCACAAACATGTTATATGCACCTTAACACGCACTAATAGGAGAGCTTTGTCCCCAGTATACGCTGTTTTGTCATTTAAATTATTATCAGTTTTACCAGAAATTATTCCGGTTTTACATTATAAATATGACATACAATTATTGTGGCTTCAGAATTTAGTAGCAGCCTGCTTAAAACAAAATTTTGCAAATATTTTAAATTTTGTACGCGTTATAGATATAGAACCTTGTGCGATTCTTATTGGTTTACAAAATCGCTGGATGCTGAATGTACAGTAGCAACGACAGTAAATTTAATTTAAATATTGACGAAGTAAATGCTCGAGACCACCAACTAAACAAGATATCTTCTCCAAGAATAATTGTGGGTTCCTTAAAAAGTTTTTTTAACAATCCTAATGCTTCTTGTAAAATGTACCCATAAATTTTAATAAACCTGCCTTATAGCTTACCATACATATATAATGAATCGAATATAGAGCGACTATGAGATTTTTTGTACTTTGCGCCATTTCTTTTTCAAAAACATAAACTTAACTTCTTCCCGCAAATTTCAAAACCAATATAAAAATGATCGAACTTACGGACAGACAATGCTGTCAGTGGCCATGTTGAATATCCTTACTGAGATTTTTTTTCTGTTTAATGTTATCAGGACAAACAGAGTCTCTATATTCAATTTTTCTTAATATATGTGTACTATAGGCCTATAGGCTACTTCAGAAAAGTGTAGAAATAATGAATTACCTCCAGTCCCGCTCAATTTCGGTGTCGGTCATATACAATCTTTGAGAAAAAATTCAATATTTTTATTTTAAGAAAGAAAACATCCTAGATAGAAAGACACTAATAATAGTTCATATTGGAAGCGACGTGAAATTATAAAGTATATTTCAGATGACTCAGTAGTAGATAAGATACAGAAAACTCCAGCTTCACTTTATATATATATAAGTCTTCTAGATATACCTAAAACTATACACCCTGTATAAAAATCTCAATAACTTTTCCATCTAGCCAATGGTGTAACTTTCTCAAGCAAGTGAAATTATTTTCTTTTTTCATTCTTTATCCTAGTTGTCTTGCACTGTACAGGGTGAGCCAAAGATAAAGTAAAGATCACTACCACATTGGTTTCGAAAGTTATGAGAAAATGGTAAATGCAAAGTTGTGAAGATTGTTAGAATGCACAATTTAAAATTATTTGAAAGTATATGGGATAACTATGACGAATGAAACATACATATTTTTTAAATGAACATCCTATTTTGGAGATATGTGTTTTGCATTCCTCTTAAAATTCTGCAGCAGAGCTCTGTTGGTTGATAGTTGTTGTGCCCAACTAATTCTATATTAATAGTCTTAGACAGAAAGAAGGATACATTTTGGGAAAGTTAAAATAAATCCCAAAGTATAAAAAATAGGATATGACCTACTTAATAGCAGTTATAGGTTTTCGTAAGATCTTTTAATAAAAATAATTATATGTATGGTGTGCCATTCAAGAAAATCGAAATTTTTCAATTTAAAATGATCCAAATTCGTAATGAACAAAAAAACGAAAAATTTCAAAGCGAATTCAAACCAAAATTTAAAAATAGTGTTTCCATTTAAAGTAATGTAAGTTTTATTCGTCACGCTTTTTTGAGCCACTCTGTAAAATATTTGAAGTGTACATCTTAATAATCTTTTCATCTTTTGTATTTACCATTTTATCATAATTTTTTAAACCAATGTATAATGAACTTTACTTTGACTGACCCTGTATGCTTAAAAAGCACATTTGTTTAGAATTCATTTCATAAAAAAAGTTATTATGCGTAAAATACATAATTTTAAAATTGTAAATTTAAGGAATATTTATATATTTTTTGGCAGTAGTTCGTAATAAATGCTAAATCTTCAAAGATTTTTCAAAGCACTTAATTTGATGATTCTCATCGATGATTAGTTGAATTGATTGATCAAATACTATAAAATTCCCTTTTCCTCTCGAAAAAATTATTTTGCTTGTCAAATGCAAATATTCCAAGTCGGGCGCCACCAAAAATTGAAAATTATATTTTGGTGAAATCATTGTGGCAGCGCAATAAAATATTTGAGACACCTTTTATATCTCGAAGGCCACCAAAGTATATCCGTATTTTTGTTCTCCACTATGGGACGCCAATGAGCGACGTTGAGCCTCTGCAAGTGCGCCACTGCTGAAGTTATAATAAATTATAATATATATTTTGTTACAGTTTTGCCGAAGAGTTCTCCAAGTTTAAGTACGGATAAAAGTTTCTACGAGGCAGGGGACGTGTTGAAGGCAAACTGTAGTTCGCCGCAATCCCGACCGGCTGCGACCCTTACCTTTATATTAAATAATATCGTGGTAAGTACTGGTAACAGATTTTGAATTAACTGGGGCAAAACTTTGGCGAAACTGGCTTCCAAACTTTCGTCAACAAACAAAACGTAACATTTTCTTTCGCGAGGATCTGAAAAGTCTTTATTTACAGAGCCAACCAGACAAAAAAATTAAACGTCTGCAGACTACTTGTCTATGGCGCTATCTATTGATTTGCACTTGAATAAGCGCTCAAAATTTGACAGAAGCATTACAGTATATTAATTGACCTGTTAACGATTTTGTTTTTATTGTGTTAGAAGATTTTCCTGGATTTGGTTGCAAAAATAGTGGCAAATCGCTTGTGTAATCGCTGGTAAGTATTTTTTTCAATCTCAATAAAATCTATTTATTATCATTATCTTCGATTTTATCAGATTGTTAGGTTTCGTTGTGTAACCTCTTGGATTAGTCGGAACTAGTTGGAGCTTGTATTGCAACCACACCGGCACCCATGATTCAAGCTCAGTTACTGATAGTGAAGATGAAATTCCTCTGTTAGATTTGAGAAAAATATTGGCAGTCAATATGGATAATGTTAGTTGGACTAGAACCAATAGCATTAACAACTTTCCAAAATTCCCACGGATGTCGAAATACCAATTGATATATTTCCCCATCTCTTCCCTTCAGAATTTATATCTCATGTCAGAGAACAAACAAATTTATGGGCTCTCCAAAAACAAGTGATTAAGAAAGAAAGGACTTCCTGGTTATAAACATACTCATGGGCATCAAATGATTACTGACTATCAAAGTAACGAAAACTATCGAGATTTTCATATAGCGAATATTATTCCAAAAAAAAATAGGTTTCAATGGTTTTCAGCACACATTCACATGGATAATAATGAAAAACAACCAAACAAAGGTGAAGATAATTATGACAAACTATATAAAGTTCGCCCATTCCTTGATGCACTTCGGAAACCCTATCAAACCTACTATGATTGAGATGAACATCAGTCTGTAGATGAATCCATGATTAAATTCAAGGGTCGATCATCTCCACGGCACTACATGCCGCAAAAGCCTATAAAACGGGGGTACAAATTGTGGTTACGTGCAAATAAATCTGGTCATGTTACTGATTTCCAGATATATACCGGTAAAGTCAATACTACAGAAATACTAAAAATGCTTGCATGTGGAACCATCCTTAAAGATCGCAAAGGTTTATCGAACGATTGATAATGCATAGTAGAGAATTCCTTTTCATGAAATGGATGGACAAGGACGGTATATATTTAATTTTTAATTTTGACAATCCAGATGAAACAACGGTTGTCAGTAAGCGGGCGCTGGATGGAACGAAGAATGATTTAACTGGTCCAATACTCTTCAGGAATTCCTTTACGAAGTAAATAGCAAAAGCAAACGCTGGTGGCTCCATATATTTTGGCACTTTCTTGACATCACGGTTGTGAACTCCTTCATTCTATTCTCTATGCGAAGTGAAGGAAAATCGCAATTGAAAGAATTTGCAATTGCTATCTTAAAGAGGTCTTATAGGATTGCAGAAACGAGAAAAACGAGGACTTAAAAGCGAAGATAAGTACATGTTTGAAACCAAATTCAAACGCGTGGTTCCCCAAGAGGTACATTTCGAAGGTGCTGCACATGTGCCGATATATGGAACTTCCCTGTGTTGTGCTGCACGCAGCACAGCGTACAAAGTGGCAGTGTACAATATGTAATAAAAAAAAATGGTTACTTGGTGAAACTATCGAAAATTTTCCAAATCAAATAATTTTTCATTAAAAATTAGGTGTCCACTATTATTATTTATCCATGTTTACCTTATATAGGATAATCATAGACATTCACAAAAAAATGTAATTTTGGTAGCCAAAGGGTTGATAGTATTAGTTCTAATGCGACACCACCTTATGCTAATTTTCCCATTCAATTAGGGACTCTGTCCATCCTCTCGAATGGACCACTATTATGCGTGATTACACCGAGACCCCTTTCATTAATTCCTTAACATAAACTTTCCTTTATCGTGTCACGATAGTCGGGTTTAGATTGGGGTTTTGTATGTAACATAGCCGCAAGTGAAATGGTCTCTAATCTCTGATACCATACTGGATGAAAATTCATTAATCATTAAAAACAATTGCGAAACTGTGCCTATATTGGAACGTGAAAATGCAACATTTTAGATTCGAAGCAAATATTTTTGGCGTAGTTGCCTTTTGAATGAAGTCAGATATTAAACAACAGCTTGAATTTAAGTTAACTAAGGTATATAAACTATTTACTTATTTATTTATCAAAATTAATGTTGTCCCCTTCACAGCAGTTAATGAATTGTAAAATAAAATGCAAGTAAATTAAAAGTGAACTGGTTGAAACTATCATGCTATCAATATAAATGAGGGAAGTGTTTTTTAAAGTTTTTGAAAAATTTAATAGTAGTGAACAGTGATAGTTTCCAATATGTCGAACCTGATTACTCCATTTTGTTATTTTTTAACTCTACTTGACTTTCAGTAAAAACGCTTCGTAACGAATTTGCTTCGGCTACTTCGCTATTTGAACTTTCACAAGAATAACAACGTATCGAAAATGATTTTGGACAGTGCAACCATTTTTCAAAGTTCTGTTTTTTTTCCAATTCATTAAACCCCAGCATCAATTATTACGGCTCCGAATGGCGGTAGCAGCGTTTTTAATTAAACCAAAACGACTCGGCGGTAACATCATAAACTTGAATCCCGGAGTTAAATATGGTTGACAGGTTTGAAAGGATTAAACCGTTGAATGCGAACAAGCAATAAACTTAAATCTCTCCGCTTTTAATAGTAAAATACCGTAAAACTCATAAAACACCGTATTTCGTTTGCGATACTATTTTTATGTATTTCCGATATTCACTTAAACGAAACTTATTGGTTCCGGTGGCGTTCTATTGTTTATTGCTCTACTTTTTTTCTTCCGGTACTGTCATTCCCGACCGTCTCGGTTGATATCAAACATCAACGTGCTAAAGAATTTTATTGAGGCCGAAATTTTAATCTGCCACATTCGCTACGAAAGTTAGTGAATATTGTAGTTATTTGAATACTATTTGCCTCAGATCAGAACAGCTTGATGTAGAAATTCTGAAGTATCTATTACTTTGTAATTTGAACTTTTCCATAGACATAAGCAACATTTTAGTAAATTTTCTAATATTACTTTACTGACTATTATGTTTCTTTAACTTTTAATTGATAACTAATTTCTGTCAAATAAGCAAGTGATGAATAATATTCTGAGATGCAGAATTTAATCTAAGGATTTTCTAAATATTTAGTATAATTAGTATTTCGGACGCAATTGCTAAAAGTGTATTTGCTAAATGTATATATCTATTTGGTGTTTCTTCATAAAGGTTGCCTTTGCCAAATTGAATGTCACCAACGTTTGTCTTTTACTTTTTTTTAGATAGGTGCCTAAATTATCTGCTCAATTGTATATAGATTCGTTCTACATAATCGTGCTGCCCCGTCATATATTTAGTTAGTTTAAAAATTAATCAATTTTTCTGAAACAGTATAAAATTAGGGTATTCTGTATAAAATCTGGGTATTCTATGACCGTGTACGAATTGCTTTTCTACATACTTTACCTAGGAATTTGATGGAATCCCTGGAATTTTTCGCCAATTTCGACTGGTGCCGTTGGACATGATACCTGCGAACCCCGGTTTCAGGTCAAACTAGTATATTTTAGACCATTTAAGCGAAAACTAATCAAAATTAACTAAACCTTCGATGATTAATTTTTGCCTAGGGTCTATCTGACGGTCTGACACAAGAAAGATTACTTTTCGGTTAGGTTTGGTTAGTATCGAGTTTGACCGCTAACAGTTAGAGCCGAGGATACAGTTTAATGAATTTTGTCCTTAATAAATAGAATCTCTTAACAAATTAAAAGTTGTGATTGTGATACAATTAAAAAGTAAAGTATTTTTGTATTTTTATGAGATAAAATTACTACCGACCATGAAATATTCATACGGTCTGACTGACCTCTTCTGGCAAAGGTGAGGTGAATTATTTACAAGTAAATAACCACATTCTTGCAGTTTGCATCTAATAGTTAAAAGATCTGTCGACTAGTTGCTGTATTTGAAATTTAGTGCTGTCGATTTTTAAAGCAATAATTTTTATCTCAAAGAATATATAATAATAATAATAAATAGCCTTTATTATAAAAAAAAACAATATACCATACTAATATTTTTCAAAGAAAAGTAAACAGATAGCTCAAAAGCGGCGCAGTCTACATTTAAAATAGCTACTCTACTGAACCGCTAAAGAACTAGTTATACAATTAATAAATAAATTGCGCACTATTTATTAAAATAAAAAATGGATGAATACAAATAAAATATACCTGCAAAATCGGAAGATCAACAAAACTCTACTACACACTATAGAAATTGCAATTTAGCGGTAGGGATAGCGATATCAGTTTCTACATGCTACATTCTTTCCTAGTCAAGTTAGTTTTCCGTCTCCGTAGTTCCTTAAAATGTAACAAATTGCTTAAAGCTGAAAATTGAAACTTACAATTGCAACCACCCGGTTAATTAACGCCGACCACTAAATTCACTAAATTACGTCCCGAAATGAAGACAAATGTCCCTTAACGCGGCTGTTAATTACAGGTATGTGAGAAATGCGTTACCTACAAGCACCCTTTCAAGGAATTGTTCTGGAGCGAATCTTCCCTCGAGTTGCCTTTATTCCCATCTCATTTTCACAATGGCCGATTAACTCTGAAGTGCGTGGCCCAAATTGGAGATTTATATCAGCAAGATACCGACATCACTTTTACCAACGTTAAAGATCCCATTCCTGCTCGAGGTAAGTTCGGTTTTATTACGTAATTTTTGTGGAAGTTTATTAGTTCAGGTGGAGAGATGTGAACTGCGATTTGCGGCGGCCCGTTTTGAATCTAGGTCTTAAACAAACGTTATACCAGAAAAAATTATGAGGGCAATTCACCCAAATTGAACCTTGAACTGTGAACCACAGTTTCATATTATACCTTTTAGTTGACGCGAACAAATATTTAATGGAAACGCTTCTAGTACACGCAGAAAGTTAGGTACTTGAATCTGCTTGCTTTTATCAAGTGGCATATAATATCCTATACTTGCATAACTACATAACTGACTAAAAAGGATTACAAATTTGATTAAACGTGAACCCAATGTTTTTAGGTGAATTCAATTTTATTGCGGGTGTTGAAACATTCCATCCTGATTGTTAATGGAAGTGTGATAGATATTCCAGACAGACGCAACGTGTAGCAATTATTTCGGCAATACCTTTAGAGCGCTGGAGCTCATTTATATTATGTTCGATCGGAACTAAATGAGCTACGATATACGCCCGCTTGCGTAATCATTAATATCTGGACTGCTGTTGAACCCAGCTTTCACGATTTCCAGCTTAATTGCTCCACTTTGATTAATAATACTTAAGCTACATTTCACGTTTAATTGGAAATATAATAAGAATTTTCCGTAAAAAAATCAGACTTGTAACTTCTCAGAAAATAGTTTATATCCAGCGCAGCTTTTCTCGGTTCCTTCAATGACAACAAAACGTTCCCTTAAATTTCTGCATACCTGAGCCATACAAATTATGCTTGTTGAGAGTTTCTGTTTCCGACCAATGAAATTAATGCATACTTCTGCAAGGTATACAAACTTACCGGGCAGAATTCGTTTTGTTTTTTAGTCCAGAGTCAGATTTGATGTTGATTGCTTATTTAATATAATATTTCACACAGCCATTAAGATATCAAAACAGGATTTTGCTACCAAATTCTGTAAAGCTGGGAAGCCATTTCTTCCATTAAAACAAATCTAATTGATGATGCTAATGAACCACAAAAAAAGAAATCAATCAATCAATCAAATATTTTGCAGTTTATGAATTGCATCAATAAAATTGTAAATCCATTACTACCTACGTCGTCTTTTTTTCAACAAACATGTTCTCTAGAATTATCACCCGGTGAATATTGCCATTCCTCTTACATAGCAATAGGGCAAACTCAGATCCCAATTCACCCCCTATAAAGTTCTGCCACATAATTTTAATATCGGGGAAGTTTTGTAATTTTGAAGCTCGTGTTAAATGGAAAATACTGTAATGGGAATTCCCGAAATATTTAAGGCCGCTCGCTAAACAGATTCCGGAGTTTTGGGACAATCCTGGAATTATGGTTTGGTAATATTAATGCAGGTAGTTTCGAACACCAAAGAAAGCTTTTAATGCAGTTGTAGGTTGCGGGCTATAGAAAACTTTCGATGGAAATGTTAGCCTGCGGATAGGAAATTTATACCGCATTTTGAGGACCCTGTGGGACTTTTGCAAAATTGCAAATAACAATATCAACTTTCGGCGATCAAAACAGAACTAAAATTTGAAAATACAGATTATTTGTAAATATTCGAATTTACTTTTTTAACTGCCCAACACACAATTTTACAATTATTATTATTATTTATTGGCTCCATGTATCTATGTTGTGTACGGTATGGAAAACAGAGCACATACAAAGAGTATCACAGAAATGAGCATGTCCACTATACGTAAGGGTCATCAGGATTTTTTTTTTGCGCACTCCAGATAGTTATTATAATAAATAAAAGACTCTATATTTTTTGAATATTTCAACTGACTATAGATTCCCGGATAGATTTTAGAATTTCCATTTTCCAAAGTCGACTAGAAAATAAAGATTTTGAAAAGATTTAAGACTGTTTTTTTTTTGTTATGTAGTGGAGAGAATCAAAAAAGCTCCAAAGAGGACAAATTATCAACTTTATGGTCGAAGACAAATTTTTGAAATTTGTTTTTTTTTTACCATGCGATGCAGATCCCGATGGTTTAATAAATATTTAGGAAAAGAAAAACATTTATTTTGCTCTTCATAGTAAATTTTGGTTATCAAAAAAATTGTTCACGTAACTGTGTGATATGTTATAATTCAAAAATAAAAACAAAAACTGTTTATACGATTAAGGATTCAAAGTTACATGAAAAAAGTGGAGTCTGAGAACACAGAGACAACATTAATTCAAAAACAGGTCATTAATGGTTTACTGACTATTTAGGAAAAGACAAGCATTTATTTTGCTCTTCATTGTAAATTTTGGTGACCATGGCTAGATAGAATCAATTTTCATTTATCACAATAACACTGACATTCATGATTGCAGTTTCACCTCGAATTTCACTGGCCACTTCGGATATTAACTGTCACTATCTTATCCCAACATTTTCATTTTAAATTTTTTGAATGGGATCTATGTGTATTTTGACAAAATTCTGTCTACAAATCACCATATCGAAACTCATTTTATGAAAAGAAAGTTCATATGAACTTTTGAGAGACAGAGTGGTAACGTTTTTCAGAAAAAAAAGTTGTTTTTATATGAAGAAGTGGGGCAAAATAAATTAACTAAATGAAATACTAAAAATAAAATAAACATTAAGATGGTTTTGAAGAACAACAACTAATTTTAAAGTTGTGGTATGATTTTTTTCTTCAAAAATATGATATGCAAAGTGCATACGTTCATGAATCTTTTTCTCAAAATTGGCATTGACATAGTATTAAGCAACACCCACCAACAAAAAAGGGCCAATTTAGAAGTATAGAAAAAACGGTTAAAACATTCCAATTTTCATGGGCACTTTCAATTTAAATTAGTCAAGACGGTTGCCGGAATTTTTCGGGCAGCATTCTAGCGGTCCGTCCGTCAGCGTTTACTAGCAGAGCTTTCAGGGAATCCTCTAAATTCGCTCGTCGTAATTACTTCGTACATGCTTACAGATTGCTTTATAATTGAAACACATGTTCTACTTCCTTGTTGAGGTTATATGTATGTGAACATGAGAAAACCACGAGAACAAGCGTGCAGTCGTTTAACCCCCGAGAGGAAGGTTAAAAGGCATTGAGGCGGTTTATTGTTTCCGTTAGCTATATGGATTTACGAAATTATAGAAATATATTATTCGGATGGCAGAGACGCTTCTTGCGGGTAAGAGAATGAAAATGGTTTCGGGTTTAGCGGGATATGTTTGACAAATTTTTTCGGATAAATTCGCATTGTCGTTTTTTTTTGTACGAATCAGCCCGGATTACGAATAACGTAATAGGGCATCCAATTTTTTTGACATGAAAATAAAAAGGGGAACATTAACAGGAGTGCTCAGAGCAGGGGACTTTTTTTATTGGATACTGCGGGATCCAAATACACAATTTTGATAAATTTTGATAGTAAGTAAATATTTTGTTCAATCCGATTTCATTAATATATTTTAAGGGAATTTATTTACCATCTCATGCGTGTTTAAAATTTGTGTGTCATTTTTGTTAACCATCGGAGAATTTAAAGTATGAGTGAGACCTCAGAAATTTTTAAAATGAAAGAAATATTTGGGTAATACTATTATTCTGCCGGTAGACTTATAATTAATAATACTACTTATATATTTATGATTACTTATTTAGTATTATTTGTATATTTATTTCCCATTTGCATCTAATTTTGCGCCCGTAGTGCTATATACGATTTCATACTATGCAGATGATATTGCTGTCAATTTTGGAAATGCGAAATGTAAATATTCGTTGATTTCATTGAAAACAGATGAATATAAAAAAATCAACGGGCGGATGTGTACATCCGAAAATCAATATATTGAAATACTTGACTCACCTTTGCGATTTCGTTGGCTAGAACTCATTTTCTTTGTGGTTACTTCATTATTTCAAATTCATTATTCAAAAATCATACTTTATATTTCATCATTTCATATTTTATCAAAATAAATAAGAACTAAAAGTTCAGATTTTCACGACATGACAATTGTTTCGACAACACCGTGTCTTTATCAAATGTAATATTTAAATTACATTAACTCAATACATAATCGTATAAAATTCACTCTCGAGATTGAACAGGATAACTCTATTAATTTTTTAGACTTAACTATTACAAAAGTGCAAAACAAATTACATTTTTCAATATACCATAAACCTTCACACACGGATACATTCATACATAACAGCTCAAATCACCCTTATACACACAAAATGGCTGCATTTAACTCTTTTATACACAGACTTCTTAATACGCCACTCTCAACTGAAAATTACAACAAAGAATTTAATATCATTAAACAAATTGCACTGGACAACGGCTACAATCCGTCCATTATAGATAAAATTATAAATAAAAAACAAATACAGACAACAGTAAACTCTATTTATTCGAAACCTAATACAGAACACGAACAATTTAAAACAATTACATACATAGCAGAACGTAGTGAAAATGTTTCAAAACATTTGTCAAAATGTGGTTTAAAAATAGCTTTTAGAACTAACAACACAATAGGAAAATATTTAAATAATAATAAATCGAAATGACCAAAATTCCAAAAATCAAGTGTCTATAGGTTGAAATGTGGATCTTGTCCTAAAATTTATATTGGACAAACAGGTAGATCCTTCAAGAAACGCATTAACGAACATATCAGAGCGTTTAAAAAGATTCTAATTATGCTACACACTTAAACACAGAAAAACACATTTTTGACGACAATTTTGATATAATACATACAGCCACAAAAAGTAGAAAATTAAATTTATTGGAAGCCATGGAGATTAAAAAATGAGACATTCAAATGTATTGCTTAACGATCAATTAGATTTAAATACCTCTCCTTTACTGAACTTAAATTCTGGCAACAACATTAATTAAGGTTTTGTGGTCATTTTTCGGTATATATAGTAGCAGGTAGTTTGTAAATATTACATTTGATAAAGACACGGTGTTATCGAAACAATTGCCATGTCAAAATATATAATTTCGTGAAAATCTGAACTTTTAGTTCTTATTTATTTTGATAAATGCATTTGCATCAAGTAAAAGCTTCCTCAGTTCAACAAATATTTTATTGTTGCCTGTAGTTTCGAAGCGGCCTATTTATATATTAAAATTACTGAATGCTTGTGTGTTACAAACAATCTAATCCTCTAACTGTTAATTTATTTACTATCATTTTCAATTCATACGTAATACTTAAATCGTCAAAATAAACAAAAATTTGCACAAATATCTAGCCAGCGCAGAAAGCGAGCTAGCGATTGTGTTAGTTCAGGTCACATCTGTTCATTCTAGGGGATTCATAACTGGCTATATAGTTGCTCCATTCAAGAAGCTACAAAAAGGCTAAGGAAATAAGCAATACGAATTTTAGTCCGTTTGTGTCTGTACCAGATCATTGTTTAGACAAGGTTCTTTTTCCTCCCCTATCAAAGAACGTGATACCCTACCAGAAATTTCAGGGTTATGGGAAAACTGCAATTATACAAAAAATTTAAAATTTGTAGTTTTAAGTTTAATTCCTCGGAAAATCAAAAGTATTTTTATGATTTTGTCTGATTTGGAACCTTTTTAACTTTTTTTCTTTTTTCCATTAATTATTCTTAATTAACCATGACGGTGTAGGAAAACTCACATTTGTCAAATATATTAATTATCTGTTATTTACCGCTCAAGTTTTGCATACAAATATTATTTATGAAAATGTTGAAATAAGTATTTATCAAAACAAGAATATTTGTATTTTGTGATTCATTTTAACTATTGCGTTAGTAAATAATTTATTTTTGAATAATATTAAATTTAAGCCGTATATGTGAGAATCGTCCAAAACAGTTATGAAGCTATAATATAGTGTGCATCAATCAAATGTGACTGACTGCAGCCTAGGCCTTTTACACAAAAGAAAACTGTTAATGTTTTTGTCTTTCATATCACTAAAAAGTTATACAACAAGTTTGCTAAACGCCATTTTAGTTACGACTTCGAATTGGCGCAAGCGGAGTGAGTGCTTAATAAACTTTTTTTTGTAAAACATCACTAACAAATTCATTGAGAAAACTTCGGAAATAACTGGCGAATTTGGCTAACGAAGGTGACTTCTTAAAGTGACCCTTTGCGCAAACCTTATTTCGTCTGCCAATATGTTACATTCAAACGAACTTTGATTTGAAGTAGTTTAAAATTAAAAACGGATTAGAAAACCATTTGGAAACGGACTAGAATTTTCTCCGGATCCAAGCAATTCGGCCGACAAAAGCGCATAGTATTTGTTTGACTTTCTCTTGGAACACTGCAATTTCGACCCGTTTAAAATCCAGTCGCTATTATCTTTATAACAAGATGTGTGATTTCAGAATATTTTTCCCTATCGGAGAATATTTTCGTTATTCCAGTCCGGGTTTTCGGCACTAAAAGTTGGATTGCAAGTTTGTCGTATCGTGCGAAACTTAAACACAAAACATTTATCTAGTGCTAACAAGAAACTGTATAAATAAACCATAACATAAACCACGCATATAATGTTAATTGGTTACGAACATTATTTCTTTGTTTCAGTGACGCAGAACTCATCAAGCAATCGAATACTTCACATTCATTCCCACATCCAGCCAGCGTTTGTGTTTTTTTATTTGTGTTACCTGCAATACGCATAGAATCCGATATATTATATTGTTACTAGGTATCTATGTACGTTCTAGTCAAAAAATTATTGTGATCAACATTGCTGCAAAATTTCGTACTAGTTATAAATTTGTACGTTTGATTTGAATTCAACGTAATAAATTAATATATTTCAAGGACGCGTTGACTTTTTTTAAACCCAATACCCAATATAATACAGTAAAGTGCATTTACAAATATTCGTTTTACGATGAATAAATTTTAACTTTTGATGATAAATGAATATTACGCTTGAATTGGGCAGAAAAATTCGAGATTAATTCAGCTATTCAATTACAATTAACCACCCTCGATTCATTTCGTTTCTATAACATACAGATCTTTAAACGGCGATGCTGAATTGAAACTCCATAAAATAACAATAAAATAGGCCGGAACAAGATTTCCGCGTTGTGCAAAATCCTGCTAAAGCCAATGCAGATGAAGCTTTCGCGACAATTATTCTGATTAAAAGACTTCAGACAATTATTCTTGCTAAAATACCCGCAAAAATTAGTCGAAAATGAACTTGAGTCCCAAAATCGTTATATAGATTTTAAATTAATACGTTTTCTTAATCGTCGAAAGTAATTTAGTACGATGGTTCGTTAAATGATTTTTTTACCTTTACTGCGGCTAGAAGAAATTCTATAGCACTCAAGTCGTCAAAGGTATAATATCATAAGCGAAGGCTGAAAATTAGCTACTACTAAAGTTTTAGGACACTTTGAAAATTAATTGTCTATTGTAGAGGATACTGGAGCGGCCCCAGGTAACCCATTGAACGGATTAATAGCTTCTACTAACTACCAATATACTTCTGCTTAGCTTTTATAGAACCAAAATTTTGCTTGCCCATTTATGCTGATTTTTTATTCGTCAAAAGCAAAACATGTATAACAAAAGTAAAGTTGCTTTCAGATTTTTGGCCAGGCATTAAAGTAATACATTCCAGAGATCTATGATTCAGTCAGAAACCACACCAAGCATTCTTAGAATAGAAAAGTACTCAGTTTTAAATTTTATTTCATTTTACTTATTTATTCATCATCAAAAATGTTGAATTTAGTAGCTAGCGATTAAATTTTTAAATTTTCACTGGGCGTTTTTCAAATTTACAAATTTTATTTCTTAAGGAGTTCAAATGGTCTATTTACAAATTTTCTGAAATCCTCCTGCGGTTGTTTCTAAATCAAATTTGCTGATTTAATATATTTATGTGTTGTTTTTATTTTAAATTTATTTCATAAATTACCACAATAAAGCAAAAGACAAGTACATTTCAAATTTCTGTAATGTATATATACAAATCTTCGAGATTGCTCATAGGTGGATTCTTAATAGATTAAACTTGCCGGGGTTTCGCCAATCATACTGTTGACTTCTTCAGAGCTCAACTGAAACTGTGGAAGTTCCTTTAAAAAATTGAAAAGGTCTATTTCAAAAATGTTTACTGAAGCAATGAAACGCTATATTATGTTCTTGATGAAATTAATTCAAGTGGAAGTATTTTGTAGCACTGATATAATATTGACTAGTAAACATCGAGTTTTAGCTTTTATAAGCTAATTTAGCTCAAACATAGATGACCTATTTGGTATCAACGATTTTTGACATTTTATTTTGATTATGTGTAATTTAGATGGGTCCAAGGTTAACAATTTATGTACGATCAGCATTGTGAAATTATGTAATCAATCAAAATTCATTGCTGAAGAATGTAAAAATATTAGTTGACAGTTCTTATTTTCGTGTTTTGTGTGTTTATGCTTAGTATTCTCTTTTACATAATTTGTTTAGTTTTATTGTTTATAATATAATTACGAAAAATTGTTTTATTTTTTATCGTTTATCTCGGGAACTCTTTTCACCCCACTTTGCCTGGTCTAAATGCCCATAATTACATCAGAAAAATAGCAATTTTATGAATGACGTATGCGGTCTCTTTAATTTGGACGCTTGTGGTTGAAATTTTTTTCTGAGTATATTGAGTTTTCTACGACAGGTACGAAACCAAGAAAAATATCCTGATTTAAGTATAAAATATCATTGATCTAAATATATGACGGATATCAGGATTCTTGTAAAATTGCCTGTTATAAATTGATGCAATATAAGCACAAAAAGGTCTATACAATAAAAAAATATATTCTTGACTAAGAATACTATTTATTAATAGATATATCTCATATTTCAACCGCCACTATAAGTTAAATTCAAATATAAATTAAACTAATCTAAACGAAAATTGTCAAGGATGTAAGAAGTCCTATTAAAGAACAAATAAATCGAGTTTTCAATGTATTGATCCAACTTTCAACTCCATTGTGGTAATTCAAATTTTTATAAAATAGGAAGGGTAATAAACTGTTGCGACCCGTCCTGGCCTGAGAGTGACGCAGTGCACTCGAATTCTAACGGTCATATAAATTAAGTTTATAAAAAATTCAGCGGCCATGCAAGATTAATACGACAGGGCAATAAAACAACACGGGACCTGTCGGCCGAACCTATTTTAAATTGTTTGAATAAAACCGTTTCATAAATGAGTTGCTGGAAACAACATTTTGAAATATGGATGCTTTATGTGGTGTTATAATTAAATTATTCGTGTAACTGCCGCACTTTGTTATTTTAGCAGATGTTTAATCATTTTGCAGTTGATTTAACGGCTAAGTTGACAGAGGATTTTTCTAGATAAAATTTCAACGCGGCGACGGGGATTCTGCTGCCGAATTTTTGGAAGATTCAGTTTGACATTTATTTGCTAACCTGAGAACCTGGGAATTTGTCATTCCTAACTTACCTAGTCCTCTCATTGGTTATAAAATTGGCTAATTTGAAAAATTTATTTGAAGTGCAAAAATAACTAAAAATAAATAAATAAATAAATTATACCTATCAGGTTTGTTTTGTTGTCTATTTTTGGAAAATCCGATATCAACTGCGCAGTCATAGTAGATAATAATAATCTAGCACAGATCGGATAAAGTTACATTAAAAATGCTAAATGCAACTTGTCTACATTTACTCATGTGTAAACTGAAACATGCTAATTTTATTGCCACGTTCATCTATTGTTAAACTCTACAAAATATTCCTATAAAGGGTAGTTTTGTCTTTAACTTGCAATTTTTTTCCCATTCCCTTGATAACGTGATACTTTGCTCCAGGATGTTGATAATATTTTAAAAACCCACCTCTTGCTTAACAGTGTCAAAGTTTTAGTATCCCTGAATACGGTAATTTCTAAATTACGGGACGGGAAATACGGGACAGCTTACTAACCAAAACTCTCTTAATGATTGAATGAAACTGTTTTTTTTTTATTCCATAGTCTATTTTACGAACGTTCAGATTTTTATCTATGCTTGACGTATTTTAATTCTCGATACGTGAACGGATCCCGAGCATCCGTTTCTGTTAAAACCGTGCAAACAAAATTCGACCTATTTTATCTATCATCTAAATTCTATCGGTTGCCACTCTAAACCTTTGGTAATTATCACCGAATCCCACAGTGCCCTTTATCCAGGAATTCTTATCGTTATTTCACTCCCACCAGCGATTGTCTAGCTCCCTTCAGCCCCAATTCTAGGATAAACCCGAAATTATCGGTGTTATGTCGGATTTAACAGAGGATTTAATATCGTGATTGACAACAAATATTTGCACGGACTGAGCAAACATTTAAGATCACTAAATTCGGAGCGTCGTATCGGTAGAAAACGCAAAAATGGCGTTTTTCTAAAAATAATTTTTACGTCGACCATTTGAGAATTCAATTTCATTTTTAGCACTGGTTTCCATATTCATGAAGCTCTTTTTTCGTTGTTAGAATTCGATAGGATGTAATGCTTATTATATGATATTATAGCCATGTTTAAAAGGGTGTATCAAAATCGTTTTTACACCTCATGTCCCATTACACACTATCGATCTTCATCAGGGACCGCTTTATAATATTTTGTTTTGTGTTAAAAGGGGCAACAAGCCAAGGTCCCTTTGGTTAATTGACCCTTTCTTTGGTTGATAAACCATTTGATAAACAAATACAAACTGAAGGTCTGGGGTATTGACAACAGTACCACCATCAGATCACTATATCTTAAGTGAAAAGAAATTATTGGCATCTAACTTCCGTACACTCAGTACACCTTTATTAAAAATAATAAAGTTTCTTCATCTCCGTTATTTCAAAATCCAAATCCATGTTCCTCAATCAAGATTATTCTACTCTCCAAATATCTACTTTAGTGTTTATAAATCTTTGTTGTATCTAGTTCCGAATTAATACAAAAACTTCAACCGCCATAAAATACCGAATCAAGAAAATCAGTAAGGTTTCAGGGAAACATAGTTCATAGAAACGACTTTATTCTAAGTTGCTTTAGAAGATTGTAGCTATTGAACTGAGGTGGCTTTTACTCGATGAAAATCCATTTATGATATATTTTTACATGACAAACACTTTTGATAAAGACACGATTTTGTCGAAACAATTGTCATGTAAAAATATATAATTTCGTGAGAATCTGAACTTTTACTTCTCTTTTATTTTGATTGTGGCTATTTATTGTTGTAATATTTTTGATTATACTTTAACCTTGCTCGTGAAAGAAAAGCTGCCAAAAAGTTTAGAGACGAATTAGAATTTCAAGAAATTAAAAAACTCGTCCATTTTGTTATACTAATAAACTCGGACAATTACAAAGCATTAGACAAGACTAACAACTAATGATTAAAATAATTTATTGTATATCAAAGTTTTTAGATCATATTTACAAATAGGCGACAACAGAAGTAAAATACCGTCAGAGTAACTGAGCCGGTATGTCATAGCATGACATCTTTTTTAAAATTTTGAAATCCGTGTCACAATCCGCGTCAAGGTCAACACTTTTTAATTAAGACATACCGATCATTTTTGATTATGTTACTATACGTGATGTGACTGCTCTGGCTGGACTATACTATCTACTATATACTATACTATACAGGGTGTTTGAAAAGACATTTAAAGAACTTTCCTTAGAACAATTTCCCTTGCTTACATACAATGTTTCACCATTTATTTATTTTTCTTTGGGAAAGGTAAGCCAAAAAAAATATATACAAAACACAAAAAAATA